GACTCCAAGGTTGAGGAGCTTTCACCCAGCCCCTAGAGCCTGGCACTTTGAACTTGGACTTAAAGCCTCCAAATTGTAAGAATAAACTCCTGTTTGTGAAGGCCATCCCATTTGTGGTATATTCTTGTCAGAGTGGCACTAGGTAACCAGACCAGTGGTGAAATCATACACAAGACATCCACCAACATAACAACTTCATATTTACAGCTCAGGGACATTGATGACATTTTTCATGTTGTGCCACCATTATTGCTGTCCTTTTCCAAAATATTCCACCACCATTCCCATAAACTCAGCCCCCAAACAAAGGCTTCCCCTTTCCCAACCCCTCCTACCCCTGGTAACCACTAATAATCTTTGGGGGATATATATATATTCTCCCCCCACCCAGCATATCTAGGAATTTAGCCTCCCCTCCACTCCCATCCCTGGTAACCAACAAAGAAAGTTTCTTTCTATGTATAAACCTTTCGTTTCTTTTATAAACTTTTCCTATACTATGGAAGTAGATTGTCCAACCTTACTTCCGAGGAGTGGCTGGTGGGTTTGAACTGCCAGCCTTCTGGTCAGCAGTCAAATGTCTTAGGCACTACGCCACCAGAGTTCCCTTATAAAAGGAAAATTTATACATAGAAAGAAACTTATTAATGGTTACTGGGGTAAGAGGGAGGGGGGAAAGGAGAAGCTTTTGTTTGTGAGGCACTGAGTTTATGATAATGGTGGTGCAGCGATGGGCTCAGGTGGAGCAAGGATTGTGAAGCTGGCACAGGGCCGGCGGTGCTTCGTTGTGTTGTACATGGGGTCGCTGTGAATCAGAGCCAACTCGACGGCACCTAACAACAACAGCAACATAAGCCTTTCCTTGACTTTTACAATAGTGGACTAATATAGTATTTGTCCTTCTGTGACTGATGTGATTGACTTATTTCACTCAGCATAATGTCCTCCAAGTTCATCCACATTATGTGGTGTTTTGCAGATTCTACATTATTCTTTAGGGTTGTATAGTATTCCATTCTGTGTATGTGCCACAGTTTGTTCAGCCATTCCTTGGTTGACGGGCACTTAGGTTGTTTCCATCTCTTTGCTATTGTGAATAGTGCTGCAGTGAACATGGGTGTGCATATGTCTGTGTCCTGCCTCTCACTTCTTTAAGATATATACCTAGTCATGGGATTGTTGGATCAAATGGTGTTTCCATTTCCAACTTTTTAAGGAATCGCCATTCTGATTTCCACAGTGGTTGTATCATTTTACAGTCCCACCAGCAGTGTATGAGAGCCCCGATCTTTGCATCCTTCAACAAATAACCAGCATTTGTTATTTTCTGCCTTGTTGAACTTTGCTATTAATGCTGGGGTAAGATAGTATCTCTCTGATAGCATAGTGCCTAAGGCACTTGACTGCTAACCAGAAGGTTGGAGGTTCAAACCCACTAGCCACTCCTGGGAAGGAAAGTTGGGCAATCTACTTCCGTAGTGATACTGCCTCGGAAACCCAAGGAAGGGGTCGCTATGAGTCGGGTCTGACTCAACGGCACACAACAACAACGACTAATGATCGCAAATATTTCTTCATGTGTTTTTGGCTGCTTGGACATCATCTTTGGTGAAGTGTCTGTTCATTACTTCTGCCCATTTTTTACCTATTCATAAGATTTTCAGTGACCAATGTTTTCAGAAGTAGAATGCTACTACTAATTCTTCTAGTCTTTCTTAGTCTGGAAGCTCTGATGAAACTTGTCCATCGTGGGTAAACCTGCTGGTATCAAAATACCAGTGACATAGCTTCCAGAATCACAGCAACACATAAGCCATCACAGGGCGACATGCTGACGGATGGTGGACGATAAACACAGTATTCAGTCAATTAAATGGGATGTCCCATGAAGCCATGACCTTAAACCTCCAAAGCAGGGAACGAATCCCATGAGATTTTTGGTTCTAGGTAAGGAGCCTCAGCAGCTACTCTTTTTTTTTTTCCTCTGTCAGTGTTATATCTATCGTGCAATTTTTGTCAATTCTTTTTACAGGTGTACAACTTATTGACAGCAATTACAATTATTGGCTGACACCCAACTCTATCAATGTGCTTTTCAGAGCTGCCTTTTGAATGCAGTTCCCCACTCGTTGGGTGAAGCCCTGATCAGGCCCCACCTCCGCGCACACCTCCCCACCCTAATCCCAGAGGCTTCTGACAAGTCAGCCTCTTCTCCAGGTGGTTCCCATGGGCGGGGCCTGGCAGGGGCGGAGCCATCTCGGGCCACGGGGCGGGGCCGAGGAGGAGGACTCGCCTCGCCGTGCCCCCACCCCCCCAGCGTCGCTTCGGGCGCGAGGCGCACGGGAGGGAAGGCCCCTGGAGCCGAGTGCGCGCGCGCGCGAGCCCGGCGCGCCCCCGGGAGGGAAGGTGGCGCGTGCAGGAATGTGCGTAGCCGGCTGCCGTGGCCCCGCCCCAGTGGCACCGCCCGGAGCATCTACGGCCCAGTGGGCTTGCGAGGCCGAGCTGGGCTGTACGCGGCGTGGGAGTGTTATGGCTGCTTCGAGCAATCCCCAGCTCGCCGAACTGCTGGCCGAGGCTCGGCGGGCCTTCCGGGAGGAGTTCGGTGCCGAGCCCGAGCTGGCTGTGTCTGCGCCAGGCCGCGTCAACCTCATCGGGGAGCACACGGACTACAACCAGGGCTTGGTGTTGCCCATGGTGAGGGGCTGCTGGGGACCCCTCTGGCCAAGTGCAGGGCTCAAGGAGGCGAATTCCCGCCCCGTGGAACGGTGGACGGGCAGCGCTGAACTTCCTACCCTGAGTTTGCGGGTGGAGCATTTGGGGGAAGAGCCTGGGGCGGCATTTCCCGCGTTGGAAGGAGGAAGCTGGATACCCTGGAAACCCGTGAGGAAGTAGGCTGGCAGGGGGTGTGCCGATGCCTCCTCTCCGAGCCGCCCAGCGGCCTGCAGGTCCTCACCCTCAGTCTGGGAGCGCGTTGGCCTCAAACTGTGGGCCCCAGTGTCACATGCAGGAACAGGCATCGGGGCCTCTGGCCTCCGTGGGACCCCAGCCATAGAAGGGCGCACACTAACCCTGAGACTCCTGACCCGGACCGACCAGTTCACAGAGGAGGAAGCTGAGGTCCAGAGAGGGCGAGTGTCCCGGTCAAGGACACACAGCAGGCTGTTGGTGGGACTGCAGCTAGAGCCAGGCCTCCTTTCAGAGCCGGACCTTTCCACCCCGCTGCCAGTGTAAGGTCACCGTGAGTCAGAATCGACCGGATTGCAGTAGGTCCGGTTTTATTTTTGGTGCGAGTGAGTACAGTGCATCCAACCATAAAGACCCACTGCCATCGAGTCAGTTCTGGCTCATAGTGACCCTGTAGGACGCAGCAGAACTGCCCCATAGAGTTTCGAAGGCTGTAAATCTTTATGGAAGCCGATTGCCTTATCTTTCTAATTTAAAGCGGCTAGTGAGTTCAAACCACCGACCTTTTGGTTAGCAGCCACATGCTTTCACCACTGCACCACCAGAACTCCTTAGAGCACATCCAGGGCCACCGCCGAATGGGAAGGTATCGGCCGCTCTAATCCTCGCTCCCTGTGCACTCTTCCCCTTGCCCCGTAGCTGGAAGCCCATGTTTAGCAGAGGCCAGAGTCCAGGTCTGCACTGCAGGAGCTGGCCCGCCTGATACCCCCCCCCCAGGCCTGCTCAGCTCTTTCCCTACCACTTCCATCCCCCTCTTGGTGAACCTGGAGTCGGCTGCAGGGCAGGGTGGAACCAGCTGTGGCTCCACCCTTTCTGGGTCTGTCCTGAGGCCCCTTGTCCCTGGGAACCTTGGTTGGACTGGTGATATGGAATTGGTTTCTCTCTCTCCTGCTAGGCACTGGAACTTAGGACTGTCCTGGTGGGCAGTCCCCGAACGGACGGGCTCGTCTCCCTTCTCACCACCTCTGAGGATGCTGATGAGCCCCGACGGCTGCAGTTCCCGCTGCCCACAGCCCAGCGGTCCTTAGAGCCTGGGACACCCCATTGGGCCAACTACATCAAGGGAGTGATTCAGCACTACCCAGGTACGGGCCCAGGCCTGGCTCAGTTCACGCTGGTACCAGGAGCGCCACCTCACGGCTGTGTAGTTCATTAGTTCATCGAATCCACGGGAGACTTGCATCCCCATTTTACAAATGAGGAAACTGATGCTCCAAGAGGTTCTGGAACTTGCCCTGTTGCCCATTACATGATTGGAGGAGCCCAGATTCATTCCAGTCCTAGTCTCTTGGCCTCCAGAGCCCTAAACTGGCAGGACAACTGGGAAGATGGTGTCCCAGGAGCCACTGAAGGTGGGAGGTAGAGAGCAGTTGGCCCCTCGGCTTGGCAGATCATTGGTCTCTGACAATAGAGACAACGCCCCAGAGGCAGGCTGCCAGGCCGTTGCCTCCCGTCATGCCAGAACATATGCCCTTCCTGTGCCCATCTTTCCTGGCAATCTGTCTCACCATCACCCACTCTTTCCCCTACAGCTGGCCCCCTCCCTGGCTTCAGTGCAGTGGTGGTCAGCTCAGTCCCCCTGGGGGGTGGGCTTTCCAGCTCAGCATCCCTGGAAGTGGCCATGTACACCTTCCTCCAGCAGCTCTGCCCAGGTACCAACTAGGCCCCAGCCCCCAGCCCAACCCTCTTCCTGAGGTCTGTGGTTAGCTCTGCTTCCCCTCCTTCGGCTTAGGGAGGGGGGTGAGAATCTCCCTGAAGTGTCTTTGGAGCTACTTCGGCTTCCACTTGCCCACCGCGTGCCCCTCTTGGGCCCCAGCCTTCCCACCCCACCCCACCCTGTGCTGCAGACTCGGGGGCAGTAGCTGCCCGGGCCCAGGTGTGTCAACAGGCTGAGCACAGCTTCGCGGGGGTGCCCTGTGGCATCATGGACCAGCTCATCGCTCTTCTGGGGCAGAAGGGTCACGCCCTGCTCATTGACTGCAGGTCAGGGGCCCCCGCCGCTCCCTCCCACCTCCCAATCAGGAACTCCTGGGTGGAGCTTGCCCACCGCCCGGCCTGGCAAGCAGACGCTTGGCCTTGTCGTTTCCCCTCCTCCATCTCCACCCCAGGTCCCTGGAGACAACCCTGGTGCCGCTCTCCGACCCAAAGCTGGCAGTGCTCATCACCAACTCCAACGTCCGCCACTCGCTGGGCTCCAGCGAGTATCCTCTGCGGCGGCGCCAATGTGAGGAGGTGGCCCAGGCGCTAGGCAAGGAGAGCCTCCGGGAGGTGCAGCTGGAGGAGCTCGAGGGTGAGGCTGGCCTGGTGCCCTGGCCTGGAGGTGGGCGGGTACCTGCTGCAGGCTTGCTGTGGCCTGAACTCTGACCTCCAGGGACCTCCTGCCATGCTCTGCCCACTTCTCTCACACAGATACTGCAAACCCAGGGCTCTAGCCTCAGCAAGTCGGCTTGAAATCTTCATTTTGGTTTTTTTTTCCTAGTAAGAGAATTAGGTTTCCACTGTGGAAGATACAGCAAAACGCAAAGGAGAAAATAATAGGCTATAAGGCCACCACTTAGAAGTTGCCACTGTTAGCATCTTAGCATATTTCCTTCCTATGTTTTTCATTTCCTTCTTGTCAAAATTGAGTATATGCGTTATTTTCACCTGTACCGCCCCATTTTACAGATGAGGAAACTGTTTTCGTTTTTTTACTTACCATGATCTCAGAACCCTTTTCACGCTCTGAAAGGTTCACCATCGACATGATGTTTAAAGGGTACACAATCTTGCATACAGATGCACCATACCATAACCATCTTCTGACATCACACCCAGCCCTGCACCGGACTTCCTATGTTAATGTTCATCTGCATTCTCTTATTATTTTCTTAGGGTAAGATTCCTAGGAGTGGGATTCTTAAGTCAAAAGGCAGAAGGTTCCTGGTACACATGGTCAGGAAAGTTGTACTTACTCAACAGCCTTTAAATATGAACTCGTTTAATTCTCTCCAACTCTGTAGAGTGGGTACCATTATCACCTACCCACGGGCAACTCATGGATGGGGCAGAGCTCAGATTTACACCCAGGCGGCCAGCTGGAGCCCACACTGAACCACTGGGCTGCCCCGTCTGGGAGTTGCACCCTCCCCGCCACTAGGTGTGCACCTTTCAGGGACCATCCTGTCCTTCCCTTTGTGAATATCACCTTCAGGGCGGCCATTGAGCCCTGCCCTGCCTACTCTGTGCAGATGACCTTGGCCGAGGCTTTTGTACGTGAATGCTTTCAGCTTGCTTTCTTTCCACCCCCAGGCTCTTCACTCCTCTGGGTGCTCCCCTGCCTTCTCCAGAGTCCTGCGGCAGCCCTGCCACCCCTTGCCCCTTTCTTCTTTCCTCCGCCTGCCCCTTTCTTTCTGCCTTTGAAACATGAAACACTAAACAGATTCAGCTTTCTCTCTTCCTAAAAGTGTGTTTTCCTCCCCTCAAACTTCTCAGTGTCGTCTCAGTAATGTGTGTTTCCCCATTTCCTCATCCCCACCCATTTCCTAACCCCTTTGCTCAGCCTGACCTTCTCTCATGCCACCTTCTGCGCCACCTCTTACGAGGCTGGCCAGTGGCTTCCCAACCTCGTGGATTACGCTCAGCCCTGACTTTGGCCCCGTTGCCTCCCTGCTCCCTTGCAGCAGCCATAGTTGCTGCTGGAGTTGCCCATGGGTGGGCAATAATGGTACCCGCTCTACAGAGTTGTAGAGAATTAAATTAGTTTTTATTTAAAGGACTTGAGAACCTTGTTGAATAACCAGGTTTCTCTGATGTGCCCCACACTTCAGCCCCCACCATTCTCTGGCCCCTGCTCTCCCGGCCGCAGCCTTGGTTGCCCAGTGGGGTGAACCGTGACCCCTTGAACTCCTTCCTTCCCACAGGCTTCCCCAGACTTCCCTTTTTCTGTTAGTTTCTCATCCTTATCACTCCTGTTGTACCTCCAAGTCAGCCTGAGTCCTCATTGTCCCAGCATCTAAGCTATCCTCCCACTCCTGTCCCTGACCTTGGTCCCCATCAGGCCTCCAATTAGATACACCAAAAACAAAAACCAAACTCACTGCCGTCGAGTTGATTCCGACTCATAGCAACCCCTCCCTGGGTTTCTGAGGCAGCATCTCTACAGAAGTAGATTGCCCAGTCTTCCTCCTGAGGAGTGGCTGGTGGGTTTGAACCGCCAGCCTTCTGGTTAGCAGTGAAATGCCTTAGGCAGTACGCCAGCAGAGCTCCTCCAATTAGATATAGACTTACTTGATTAACAGTTGCTGGTCCTGGGCGCCTACATCTCCCACCCTGACCCTCCTGCCCAAGGCAGTCACTTCTGTTCACTAGGGCTCAGCCCTGTCCTTCCCCCGCTCCAAAACCTCCATGGCTCCTGCTGCCCATGGAATTAAGTAGCAAACTCCCCTTGGCACTCGGCACTCCCTCCGTCCCCACACCCACTGGGATAACCTGCTGATTTCCTAGGACTCCCTGCCTCCTTATCTCTGCCTGGGCTGTTCCCTGTCCTCTCTGGTGACCCTGGCCCCTAGGCTCCATTGCTGCCTGTGTTGATGTCAGCAGCTTTTCCCCTCTGCCCTGCCAGGGCCACTGGAGGGCAGGACAGTATCCTAGTCACCCTGGAAACCCCTGCAGGGCCTGGACCTTCACCTGCAGTTTGTTGAGCACCTGCTATGTGCCAGGCACCCTGCTGGGTGGTTCCTGTGTGTTCAGTCCTCATGAATGAGGCAGCATCCTGCCATTTTACCATAGAGGAGGAGGCCCCAAAGCCCAGCCACCTGCTCGCTTGTGACTTAGATGCAGGTTCAGAGCCGGATCTCTGCCTTGGAGGTTGGCCCTGTCCCATGAGCCTCCCCACCCCTCTTCACTGAGCACTCAGCAGACAGGTGTTGGCTGACCAGCGAGGGCCATTGCCCTGCAGCCATTGTGGCTCCTCCTCTACATGGCCCAGGAGGTGAAAGGCGGTCTGCTGACTCCCTTTCCTCCCCAGCTGGCAAAGAGCTGGTGAGCAAGGAGTGCTTCCAGCGGGCACGACACGTTGTGGGTGAGATCCGGCGCACGGCCCAGGCTGCGGATGCTCTGAGCCGTGGGGACTACCGAGCCTTTGGCCGCCTCATGGTGGAGAGTCACTACTCACTCAGGTAAGTCCCCCTGGGCACCCGCATCTCCCAGGGACGGGCCGTCCTGGCCTGCGCGTCCCAGGCCTGCCCCTCCGTGTCCACTCTGCAGGGATGACTACGAGGTGAGCTGCCCTGAGCTGGACCAGCTGGTGGAGGCCACGCTGTCTGTGCCTGGGGTTTATGGCAGCCGCATGACAGGTGGCGGCTTTGGTGGCTGCACGGTGACCCTGCTGGAGGACACCGCTGTGTCTCGAACCTTGCAGCACATCCAGGTATGCGGTGCCCAAACCTGGGAGGGCAGAGGACACCAAGCAGGTGCCCAGGGCTGGGGGCACTTAGCCCATGGGGCTGCTCAGACCCCTCCCACCCCTCCCACAGGAGCAGTACAGCGGGACTGCCACCTTCTACCTCTCCCAGGCAGCTGATGGTGCCACGGTGCTGCCCCTGTGAGGTGTTATTCTGGATGGGCACAAGGCCTGCCCAGGCTGCAGGTCAGCCCTGGCCCTCTGGCACCTGCCACCCTATCTGTGAGCTCAATAAACTTGTGCCCGTCTCAGAGGTGGCTGTGTGTGTGGGCATCTGAGAAAGTGGGTGTCAGAACCATCCCTTCCTCAGGGTGGCACCTCTCAGGCCCCAGAACCATGGCCAGGGCGGAACCATGGAGTAGCAAAATCTTTTATTAATTGCAGGACAGTGGCTGGGTCTTTGATATGCAGGTCTCAGCTCTTTGGTTACAAATTGGGGGTAAGGGGAAGGGGTGGGCAGCCAAGGGGGCTTCTGGGGCCTCTGCCCCATTCATGCCTCCCCAAGGTCGCCTGCCCCCTGCTCTGTGGTTGAGGCGCTTGCTGTGGGAAGTGAGCCGCATGTGGGAGGGCTGGACTCCGGAGAGTCCCAGGGTAGAGGCGCTGAGGGAGAGGAGAGGCAGTGGGGATGGGGGTCCAGGCTCCAGGGCTCTCACTGGGGCAGGGGGCGTGTGTGGTCAGGTCTGGTAGAACTGGTGGTCCACCTGTGTGCTGAGGGTCCCACTGGTGGTCAGTGTCCGGCTTACAAACTCCTGGGTCACGTGCCGGGTGAGGGAGCCACCTACCTCCAGGTGTTGGGACCCCAGCGTGAGCCCGTCTGCAAAGGAGGAGGTATTGAAAGACCCTGCCTAGGTCCGTGCCCCTCCCCCACCACTCGCACCTCTGAGAGCGCCAGGGATCCCAGCTGGCCGCTCACCCACTAAGGGGTTGGTGGTGCTGGTGTGGGTGGTGGTGACACTGCTGTATTCCCCTTGTAGTGGGTGCTGGAAGAGCCCGGGGTGGCTGCCCAGCTGCGGGAAGGGACCTGGAGTGGACAGAGGAGCCAATCAGTGGATAGAGCCAGGAAGAGGCATGGCCTGTGAAGAGGCGGGCTTGGGGCAGGGTTGGGGTGGGGCTGAAGCCCACGCCCTACCTCCATCCTGGGATTCAATGGTGATGATGCCTTCCCGCTCAGGCCCGAAGCCCCGTGTGGTTTTGGCCTGCACTTTGAACTTGTAGGGCACATTCTCACTGAGGCCTGGCACTGTCAGCCGGCTCTCGGGGCTGTCTCCATCCACCAGAAATGTGGTGGCTGGCCCTGGGCAGGGGAGACACCTTCAGGCTCCATGGTTCCCGGCTCCAGCCTTCCCCTGCCCACCCCTGCCCCAGGTGAGGCAGCACCTCCTCCGTGGGCCATCTCGCAGGTCACCAGGTAGCCGAGGATGTCCCCATTGGGCCGCCGTGGCCGCTCCCAGCTCAGCTGCAGTGAGTCGGGGCTCAGGGCGGTGAACACCAGTGGGCCTGGTGCACTGGGGGTGCTCAGGGTGAAGGCAGAGCCTGGAGAAGCAGAGGGGGATGTCAGTGTGTTGGTGGGGTGCACAGGATGAAGGCCAAGCCTGAGGGAGCTTAAGGGGAGTGTCTGTGTCTGTGTGTGTGTGTGTGTGAGTGAGTGAATGGTGGGGTGGGGTAGGCACAATAACGGGTGGCCGTGGGAGTCGGGGGGGGGGCAGCTTACCTGGCAGGGGGCAGAGTGGGCTCTGTGGGTGCACCTGGGATTCGATGGTGATGACACCCTCACGCTCTGGGCCCCACCCATCCTGGCTCTGGGCACGCACGTGGAACACATACGAGTGGTTGGGCAGGAGGTCCTCCACCACCACCGAGGTCTGGCTGGGGTTAGGGATGCTGAGCCGATGCAGCTCATCTGGGGAGGGCGTGGGGACAGACAGTGGAGCAGTTCCCTCCCATCCCTGGCATCATCCCTAGGATGCCCCTTCCCTGGGGTGCTGCCAGGATCTGGCCGTCACCCACCAGGACTAGCTATGGTTTGGCTATGGGAAGCTCTAGCCTAGAGTCACCAGACGGGGCTGGTTGTTCAGGGAGTGTACTCTGCAAGAAGGGGTGGAACCTGAAATGCCACCCATATTCTGGCCAGACCCTGTGCCCTGCCAGGGCTGCTTTGAGCATCTGCCCAGAGCTGCCCTTTCCAAATTTCCACAGAGGTACGTCATAGGCCATCCCGAGGCCTTGGCTCTGAGGTCAATGGGGCTTTGTTAGGCAAAACTTGGCCGCGATGACCAGAGGAGAGGCCAGGAAGATAGATGGGGCCAGAAGAGACAATGAAGGGGAGTAGGGGAGCTTGGGGTGAATGACCCACTCAAAGGCTGGGTTGGGGTGTTAGTGCTCAGGGGACTTGGGTGATTGCTGGCACAGTAGGGAGCGCCCTGTGCGTGGAGACTCGCCGGGCTGCCCACAGCCACCCGACATACACACCTCCGTTCAGCAGCTTGTACTCCACGCTGTAACCCTGTAGCGCCCGCTCACATTGTGGCTCCTGCCAGCTCACTTTCACAGATGTGGGTCCCAGGGCTGAGAATACCAGGCGGGTGGGAGTGTCCGGCACACCCGCAGCCATGAAGGCATCTGAGGACAGAAGGTCACAATCAGAGCCCGAGACCCGGGGGCTGAGGCAGGGGTCTCTGGGTGCAAGTCACAGTTCTAGCCCCTAACCTCCCTCACCGCTGGTGTGTCTGAGTGGACCACCGGCCAGCTGGGTGGCTCACTCACCCTGTAACCCCCTGTCCAGGCTGCCCAGCACCTCCCGCATGTCCTCAGAGTGGGTGCAGGCCCTGCCTGTGCCAAGAAAGGGTGAGCATTGTGAGTTGGTCAGCATCCACCAATCTCCTCAGCTGGTCTGGTCCCTCCCCAGCCCAGCCTGACATCCCCACAAAGGCGGAGGCTAAGTTAGGCACCAGCAGTGATGGGATGGGGCGGGTGGTTAGCTCCTGTGTGCAGGCAGCGGTCCTGTGGCTAGGACGAGAAGGTGGTGGCTGCAATGGATGGATGCTTGACAGATGGAGCAGGTCAGCTATGGAGACACAGGGTGGCCACCTGTGCACTACCTGGACCCCAAGAGGGTGCTGCTGGCTGGCCCGCCAGGATTATAGAGTCCCCAGAGCGGGGCAGCCCCTTCACCTGAGCCCAACGGCGGGCCCCTAGGGCCCAGGACAACGGAAGCCTGCTCCTCCCGGCTTCCCAGATGGGAGGGAGGCCTAGAGCAGGACAAAACAAGAGTGAGAGGGGTAGGGTGTATGTGTGTGTGTGCATGTGTATATATGTGTGGGTACACATGCTTGCAGGCATGGTGTGTGTAGTGTGCACGTGTCCACAGGTGTGTGCATATGTGTACATCCATAGTGCGTCTGTGTGTGTGTGTGTGTGTGTGTGTGTGTAAGCGCTGAAGGGCGGGTGCTGGGGTACCAAAGGCCAAGGCTGGAACCGTAGGGAGCTGGACCAGAAGGCTCGCAGTAGGCGGGGCTTTCACACTCACCTTGGGAGGAGAGGGAGGTGAGGGTGGAGTAGTCCCTGGGCAGCGTGGCCGAGCGTGAGTGTGAGTGCTCTGTGCGGGTCAGCGAGTGGTAGTCCCTCGTGAGGGTGGAGGACGTGCTCAGCACGCGGTGGGGCAGGTGTGGGCTCAGGTGGGTGCCATAGGCAGCATTGGCTACAGTCATCCTGTGCAGGGAGTTGGCGCTGCCCGGGTAGGCGCAGTCCATCCGCCCATTCACCAGGTGTTCTGCGGAGGAGGGCAGGGTCATCTGCGGGCCTGGGCCGGAGTCACACGGGGCAGCTTGGGCCCTGGGAGATCCCGGGATTGCCTACCTTCGGGGGCCTTGGCATGAATACAGCTAGCCTCCCTCAGCCCGCCAGGGGCTGTGTCCCTGGAGGAGTGCCACCCTGCCCCTGGCTGGCCACACGCTTCCGCCTCCTGGCCCAGCAAGACGCCAATCACAGGCGCAGGGTCTGAGCACAGCGGAGCTCGGGTGGGAGACTTGCTGTCCCGCCCCCGGGAGCCCAGGCACCTGCCCTGGTGGGCCCTGCCTCTCTGCTATGTCTCCTGGGCAGTCCCCTAGCATGGCAGCCTGTGCAGCGGACTGGAGCTGGGGGCTGGCTGCCCGCCCCAAGCGCGGGCGCCCAGTGTGCCTAGGTGTGTGCCGTCGGGGCGCGGCCCCAGAGGGCGCCGTCACCTCCGGGGGGCCCAGGTGTTGCGCTGCGAGGCAGGCCGCCGCCCCCTGCGTCCCCTGCACCCTTGGCGCCGTCGTCTGGGGGCGCAGGGGGCGCCTCGAAGGCCTCGGAGGAGCGCACGCTGCTGGCCGACAGGCGCGGGATGAGTTCCGGGGGCAGCTGCCACGTGACGCGCCGCAGGTCCAACTCCTCCCCCAGCAGGGCCTCGAACTTCCAGCAGCCGCCGCCTCCGCCTTGGGAACAACGAAGGGCCGCGTTGGCGCCGCCGGCGGGCGGGCGGCTGCGCGAGGAGGGGCCGGCCGA